ATGTGTGAATCTTTTAAACACATTAATCACATTTCATTACCCTTTTGCTTATTTGAGGTAAAGCCAAACACAAGAATGCAGATTTTCTTATCTTTATTTTCTTTCCTTGGTGTTTTATGGGATCCAAGCGCACCTCAAATAATTCTATTTGTTTTCTAGGCCTCGTGTGCAGCTTTGCAATTATATTCTTCTTTGTGTATAGCTATAAGCCTATAATTATAGATGAATCGTGAATGTTTGTTTACATGTGGCTCTCAAGTATAACATATGCATGTTGAAGCATATCATGTTTGTATTTTTCAAAAGCTTTTCAAGTAACACTTGGCCAAAATAAAATCACTATATGGCATGATTCGACTAAGGCTGCAGAAATAAGTTCTGTTGTGTAACATTTTTAGATATAGCAGTAAGTGTTGTACTAAATAGGTAGTCCTCTGTGCTTTTGGTCATGATTTCCTTAAAACATTCTTGGTTTTCTTTTCTAGCCAAAACTATATTTCTCCCATTTTAGAAATGGTTGGGAGAAAAGAAAGCTATCACACAAACAGGAAAGCCCATCCATAAGTGTTATAAGTGCTATCTCATTCAAGGACTTAAGTAAACTGTTCTTTGAAAGCCCGCCTATATGCTTCTTTCCTGCTTTGTTATGTAAGCATTAAAAGTATTATTTGTCCTGTAAAGGCATTTTTCAAATTTTCATGCCAAGTCGCTTCTTTTTAAAGCATGATTGGAATTTCAATTGGATGGTTTGATAAAAATACTACTACGTAATATAAAATTTCAAATCAAATATAAGAAATTCCTAATTGGTTTTCTCGGCAATCTTTGTGCAGGATGAGAAAGATAAGAGAATTCAAGAACTTACAGCAGAACTTAGCATCAAGAAACGACTTACTATGGCCTACAAGGAACGGCTCCTTAGCATTATAAAAGACGTTGATAACTATACCAAACATCTTTCTTCCAATGTTGAAACCGTTTGTGGCAATCCTAGATTCCTTGTAGCTACAAGGTTTGACTTTCTAACTTTCAAGAACACTTCTTCATAAGAGGCGGGGCCTACACTTCATTCTCTTCAATCAAAGCCAAATCTATGAAGCATGTTTGGTGGGAGAAGCAGACTGTGTGGCTTGAAGTCTTGAACTCATAGCCAAACGGTGAGCCAGTCATTCTGTGATCATTAGTGATAGATTCTTTGTAGTAACTATACTGTAGTTATTGCATTAAAGGAAGGTCTGGATTGTTTGCAATCTTAATGGGTCTCACCATGAAGTGATATGGTCCATGCAGTAACTAGATTGTGTAGATACATCAGAAGATCTATTCTACTTGGTCATTGCACCAAGTTAAATTATTCATTTTTGGCCAAATGATAATTAAGATGTTCCTTTGTTGGTCCCCGGCTTTCACTTTTTCTTCTTCTTCAGTGTGGTACTATTAATTTCTTGTCATTTTGGTCCCTTCATGTCACATAGCTAGTGATAATCAACCAAAATTGACCCAATAAGTAGTGGGAGGACTAAAAGTGAAAAGAAATACATATTGTGCACCTTAAGTGGAAGATTTAAAAGTTAAAGCTGATAGTGGAAATGACTAATTCGTTGTTGCGAAATGCAATGGAAAACTCTCCAAAACCAAGCTCAACTGTCATAACCTTTGAATGTTAGGGTATAATTCCGATTTTTCCTGTTTCCTACACAACACGGTTACATCTTTCATCTTCATCTTACATAATGTGTATGGACACTAGGGTGCATGACAATGGTGCTATGCGCATAATAAAATGGTATAATGCATTAGAATAACTTAGCTCTCACTTCTTTGTTGAAGCTTGTAATTGTACTATACTTATTGACAATCATTTTACTTATATATTTTCTTATACATTGATGATATTATCACTCATCAGTTGTGCATTACTTTATCTTCTTTGTCGAGTCCATCATTTCCAACTGAGGCAAATGACTCACTATTTTTTGTCTTGGAAATATAATGGAATAAAGCGAAATAGCTCACTAAATTGTCTGACCTGCTTTAATATGTCACAGCGGTCAGTCTATGCAATTTCCGACACAAAATTCATCGTGGGTCATCTGGAGACATGTTCTTTGTGATTTTTATTGTGTTGTTGATGTTGTTATTGTATTTATTTGTTATTGTATATAAGATGACACTGACAATATATAACATGACATAGAAATATTTAAAATGACACCGACTATATATAACATGACACACAAAGAGTATATAACTCGCACAAAGAAACTTTAGCCCTACATAGAAAATAGTCCACAAATGCCACAAATAATATTTTACATGCATATGACACAAATAATATTCAATAAAGTTGTCAATCTCCAGTTGAATGTGTGGCAATTGTCCATCTCAGATTGTTTTTCTGATGAAGTGGACAAGATTGAATATGAGAGTTAAATGTGACGTAAGATGAAAGATGATGAAGTTGATAAATGATTATGAAAAAAAATGGTGATAGTGAAGATGGAAGGTGGAACGAATAGAAGGAAAAAAGTAAGAAAAAAAAAGAGAAAATGGGGAGAGTGTGGATCCGTAAAAAATGATAGATTTTTGAGTTTATATATACTTCGTATTTATAAGTGTTCCAAGTATTCACATAGCAAGTTTTCTATGTTCAACGTGTTATGCTATGCGAAGTCTAGCGAATTATGAACTTCCTCCTAGGGCATAGCCGCCGCTAGGTTATTTCCGATTTCGATCTTTCTTGATCGAAGTTCGGTCAGTGTTTCCCTAGCGAGATCTCTCGCGTAGGGTTTTTACTTCGCCGCCCTGGTGCGACGTTTCTTTCAATCGACGCAGCTCTGCGCCGGATTGTCGTGGTTTGGACGTAGCTCAGGATGGATGATCGTGACAGCGAGAAGATGGTGGAAGAAGCGAGAGAGATACGTAGGGATGATCGGGACATGGTTAGCATGGAGAGGCTGGACGCTCTATTCGATGACATGAATTTGGGTCATATGGCGGGTACGCCACTGAAAGGGGGTATCAATCGAGCGACGGTCCGACCTTCGCCTGAACCACCACCATGCATGGGTTGTACGAGGTGCTAGAGTCCGTGAAAGTTTTCCTAGTAATTTTTATTTGTTTGTCATTTATTTTCTTGTGTTCATCTTTGTTGTTGGTTTTGACAATTTGTTTGAGTTTTTAGCCTCTCTTTATGTCATTGGCTATGGTTGGATCTATGGGAACAAGTTTGGCTGTGTCAAGCCCACTACATGGTTAGCGATTCGTATTGCTCTTTCGGGGGTGACCGTCTCAAAGTCTCACCATAGGGTTACAGTCGTAGTTGTTGGAGTTTTAGTTGGTGTCAGTTTTATTTTCCCTTTGCTTGATGTAACGATCCTGAATCTTTTGATATGAATAGAGGCCTGTTTTGATGACAAAAAAAAAGTATTGACATAGCAAGTGCGATGATACTATTTACCCTTGCAACCTAGATCAGTATATACTCCGTAGTTTTTAGGTGATTTGGCTACCAACCTAAGTAATCTTTTAGTGTTGCATTTTGTCAGCTTTCTAGCTCTACCAAAATTTCATTTGAGGCATTTCTTTAAATATTATTGAAATAAAAGTGATAAACAAAAATATAACTTAAGTTACTACAAGTATATCATCATAGTTTCTATAAATGTAAATTAGAACATCTTGATGATCACTAAAGTTACTAATATAATCAATCACTGAAGAATAAATAGTTACAACTTTTCTAGCACAGACCTTAACTTTGTTTTAGTAATATATTTCCCATTATTTCATATCATTTATGTTTGGCCTATATAATTTCAGTTACAGACTTTACTCTTCTTTTAGTAATATATTTCTCATTATTTCTTATCATTTTTGTTTGGCCTATATAATCTCAGCTACAGACTTTACTTTTGTTTTAAAATGTGGTTATCGAAATGATAAAGAGAATAAGAAAACATTAAATTGAATTACTCCATTTATTCAGGAAAGAAACTTACACTTTTTTATGTTTAAAAGAGAAGTACCATTTTTGTAAAAAGAAGAAATAATTACATTTTTATGACTAGAAAATAAAAAATATCACAATTATTAGCTTTAGACTTTAGAAACATAAGAGTATTTGTTTGTATTAGGGGTGAACAAAAATCCGGAATACCGAAACCGGCCAACAAACCGATCGAAAACTGAATTGATCAAAACCGTAACTGACTCAAACCAAAACCGACTAAAACAGGTTAACCATTAGCGGTTCGGTTTACAGTTTTACCTTTTGATTTAAAAAACTGACCGAATCGAAACCGTCCGACAAAACCGTCAAAGACATGATAGCACCGACCAAAACCGACACAAACCGACCGAAATTAACCGATCCGAAATCAAACCGAAACTGAATCAAGTAGTGCAGTTTTGTCGGTTTACAATTTCACCTTTCGAAAACCAAAACCAATAAAACCGAAACTGACAAAATCGAAACGACAAACACACCTTGTTTGTGGAACGATGAAAACCAAAACCACATTCACTCATTTAATATAAGCATTGGTAAAGGTGGCAATCTGAACATGAGTTTTGCTAGAAGTACACAAAATGTGTACACATGTCTGTCATTCACAGAAATTTTATCTGTCAGAAACAACTCAATTTTTCATCTGAACATTGACATAAGACTCTCCTAGAAGTAGAAATAAGTAGTCAAATACGGAGTAGATACTCCCTCCGTCCCAATTTGATGATCCCATTTCTTTTGGGCTCAAAGATTAAGGAAATGGTTGAAAAGGTAAAATTTGTGGTTGAGATTTGAGTAGAAAAATGTGAAATGATGTGGACCACATATTTCTTTCCAAAAAGGGAAATGGGACTATCAATTTGGGACGACCCAGAAAAGAAATACGAGATCCTCAAATTGGGAGGGAGGGAATAGTAGTGACTTATAGTCTTATAGATATGGATAAGTCTTGATATATACGGTGGAGATGAAACTTGGGATAAACTGATAGGGTATGCCCTAGAAGGTTTCTGGGTAGGGTTTTACGTACTCACCCTTAACATTACTCTACATATCTGCCCACTTCTTCCCAAACCCCCTTCCAATTCCATGGCTCCCTCCACTGTCATGCGCCTCCATCTGTATTGGTTATGGCTCGATTTCAAGGTTACGTTTCAGCTAGAGTACGACCGGCCTAATGCTTTGCACCACGATTTCTCTGTATAATTACTATTTAAAAGGTACCTTTTTTAAATAACACTCAATTTTTGTTGTCTATTTCTAGATCCTTGCTGTAATCATGCCAGTCATTTGGGTATTTGGGTTGGTTTTATTTTTTGTTTGACACTTTCGTTTCAATTAGTTTAATGCTTCGGATTTGTTGAAGCCCCCTTGTACTTTCAAAAGGGCGTCGTCCATAGTCCATTACTAGAAAAGGGAGATTATTAAGGAACAGGGCATGAAAAATCATTACTATCTATTATTATGGGAGGTGTTGTAGAGAAGCACCAAATCAAATGCCACAAACAGTTATAATCAGACAGCTCTTCATTCAAGATTATTTAAGAGCTCCCCATTCAAAGATTACAAACAGTTATTATTTTTAAAAACTTATCTAACAGCTCTCCATTCAAGATTACAGTAATGATCATTACAGTTAGGTTAGTCACAAGTGCGGGCCTGAGCGCTTAAGCGCACCAGGCGAGGCACATATGAGAGTTAGCGCCTGTTAGAGTAGCTGAAGCACTGAAGGCCTGTTACAGTATTTATAGAAATAGACTTAGCTCTCCGTTCTCCTTGGTAGGAAACATAGATTTCATTGAGACCTTGTTATTTTTTCATATCTAATTGTGTCCTTGGTAGGAAACAATTATTGTGAGTTGAAGTATCTCAGAAAGTGTAGTGAAATGCAGTGTTCTACAAGTGACAAAGTAAATTCTTTATAATTTTTCTTGTACATTCAGTTTTGCTAGCATTATGTTACATGTTTGCTTAAATTTTTTTTGTAGGATATTTCATCAGATAGAGAACTAAGGAGGCACAAAAGAAAATGCCAAAGGATTTTACGTTTGAAAGACATTAAGATTTCAGAGTTGATGGCTCAAAAGAGAATTAGATGGAAGAATTATAACAAAATTGCAAATGACATAAGTGAAAAAAATAGACAAAAATTTAATGAACTTAATATAACATACAAGAAGATAGAGTCAGATGTGAAAAAGATCAACGAATTGCAAATGTCCAACTTAGATTTGGAGAATAAAATTTCAAACATGAAAGCCATATCCGTTAAGCAAAATGGTGAGATTTTTAGGCTTTCCAATGAACCACGATCATTGAAGAATAGAAAGAGAATGATACCTAGGACTGTTTCAATGAAGAATGGGAAGAGATTCATTTCGGCAGTACAATTATCTCATCCTCATTTGTTGCAACTATCTCAACCGGAGGAGGTACGGTACACTACTACGTAAAACTCTTGTATCTATGTTTTTGTGTATACTACTACGTAAAACTCTTGTATCTATGTTTTTGTGTATAATTAAAATCCACTATTTATAAATATATTTTATCAGTTTGGGAGTTTTTTACTACTTACTGTAATTTATCCTATGTGGAGGTGGAGGCATATGACCAGGGACGGAGGTATGCATAGTGTTAGGTAAAAGTGTTTCCCTTTGTTGTGTTTTGAAATTTTAATTTCTTTAGTTAATTATTTTTTTCTAGTACTTTGGAATAAGTCATCCACTTAATATATTATTCTTTTACATTAAAGTGATGAAATATATACAACGTATTACTTATGAATAATATATACGGAGTATAAGTTTAAATCTATTACTTTATTTCCTTTTCATTTAAGTAGATAGAGTTATTCATCTTATAGAAGAAAGTTTTTGAAAAATTGAACATGTCATTATAATATTTTGATTTTTTTAATCGTCCTACAAAATCTTGAAGAATATATTCAACTACACAACAAATTTTAATACAATGCGTTTTTGTATTTATATGATACATTTGATAGTTTGTTATACGTAGTACATTTTGGCCCCCCCTCCAATAGAATCCTGACTCCGTTCTTGCATATGACAATGCTAAAAGCAAAATAAACTCCAAAGTAATTGTTTTGTTTAAGCTCAGTACTCCAGTTGTACCATTAGACCCATTCTCTTCTGCTTACAATTTTTTGCTGCATAGAAATATTATTTAATAAATAATTTTTTTAGAATATGATGATTATAATATTGCAGGATCGATGTGTGGTTTTGGAGCGTCAATTTGTTGAGCTTAAGAATGAAACGGAGACGATACAAGTTGGAATGACAGAGCTTAAGACAGTAAATTAAAAATTGATGGAAGAAAATCTAGAACAAAGAACATATTTCAATTCTTCTATGAGCATCTATGTTTTGATCGATATGTCCATCTATGTTTGGGCAGATGTCACAACTCCAACAATCATTACCATTCAAACAACAACAACGTGCATCCTTCAGCCAACTTTTTCAGATGACATACTCTCAAGAACAACATGAAACGTTGGGGGATCAACCTCTACAGTTTGGTCTCACTGGTTTGACACAACCTACATCATCTAAACGGTGCTCAAGAGCGCCTCCCTTGCAAATCAACCAACTCATGCACCACCTATTCTTTCGATGCGGCGTACTCGTGAGAGCTCATCTAGCTATTATTCTGATGATGACGAGGAAAGTGACGATATGAATGATGATAGTTAGTAAAGAATGTAGTGTGTTCTGACTTCCATCATTTGCAATGGAGCCAAAGATTCATTATTTTTTGGCTTGAGAATATGATGGAATAAAGTAGCAGTTATGAAGTAGCAGTCAGTTCATGCAATTTTGGACGCGTTTTTCATTATGGGTCATCCAGAAACAGTTTCTCTGTGCTTTAGTATACGGATAAGACTGCGTACATCTGACCTTCCTGACCCCACCGTAGGTAGGAGCCTTTGCGGCACTGGGGTAAATGAAAATGAAATGTGTTCTGAATTTTTTAGTTAAAACTCTGTTATATGTTCTATGCTTTTGGTGAAGAGTAGTTTTAGTGTACTAAAGCAGTCAGCCTTCAACGTAATGTTAACATTTATTTTTATTATGTTATACTTGTATATTACTGTATTATTTTAGTTTATATGAAGTATTAGAAAGTAATACAAATTATACGATGTACTTGATGAATATACTTATATACTTGGTATGCCTTATGAGGGAGGAATCCTTATTAAACTGTTATTGATAGGATTATAGGAATGCTTCATTGGGTACACGCAGCGGGGCTGAGTTATTAGAGCAGGAGTGGTTATAAATACGTCCCTCAATACTTTGTCAAAGTTGATCGGCACATTGATTAATAAAGTAAAAACTGTGTAATTGAGGTTTGTGCAGAGGAAAAAGAATTAATTGGAACCACAAATTCTTTATTTAAAAGGAAAAGTGACAAAGTTAACGAGACATCCAAAAAAGAAATAAAGGAAAGTTGACAAAGTTATAAAGGACGGAGGAGGTGTAACAAATTAATGACATTCCCGTGTCATAACAATATTTTCATTCACCGAGTGTTGGTGGCAGGGATTAGTTTAGGAGCTAAACTCCATATTTATATTAAGGTGAATCTCCCTATTTATGTTAGAATATTAGTTTGAGTCATTTTTCGTTGTTGAAATTATTTTTAGCCTTTAAAATTTACAAATGGGTGAAAAACGTAAAAGCCGTAAAACACGTAGCGGACATGAGGCTCTTTGGCCTAGGGTTACGGTTGTGGCTGTTTGCTCACATGTTTCTTTGATGCAAGTTAATGAATGGCGTTGGGCTTAAAATATTTGGGTTGGGGCAACGAACTTCCAAGTAGGAGGCAGTTCGGGTGCAATAGATGACACACTCGTGGAGAGATACAATGAGTTTCGACATGGAACAGGAACAAGGTGAGTTGGATGCCTTCGAACAGGTGGGCTAACGTCTAGGGTTGGATGAAGGAAAAAGGTTGATAAAGTTTTGATGATTTTTTCCCATCTAAACCGCTGCCATAGAGTGAATGAGAATTTAAGGTTTGGAAGGATGTTTCAAACTTGGGTTTGGCGACCTGCAGGCTTCGCTTTATTTTTATTTCAAGTTTTATTTTTATTTCGTTCGACAATATACATTGTTGTTGGATTGTTCGAATATCTTACATGTTCAACGATTAATCTAGCTCAATTTTGGACAATTATTCTATATGTGGTCAGAGAACGATGAGATCTATTGATTATATTGAATCAAGAGAGAGTGAGTGGGTAGGTGACAAGTATGATGTATGACCGTCGGTTCTATGATTTCAATATAAACATTATCTTTTCAAAAAGAATTTACAAATGGGTTTGCTAAGACACTTTTTATGGGTTTTGAATTGATAAAATTTCATTTTTATATTTCCTAAAACTAGTATATCACTTATGCACGGAGGAATATTTTATTAATTAAAAAAATATTAATTACATAAAGTAAAAATTATAATGAAAAACAACTTATTACCACAAAATATCAATATAATAAAAACATCATACGAATGCAATGACTGAAGCTAGAGCTAGACATGCAGGAGGACTGAGGCTGACAGGGTAGAGATGACCATTATGACGCGCCTGAAGAAGAACCGCCCCTGAAATTTTGTCTTTAACAAAAAAGAGTTTTTATCAAAAACAACAGCACAATTGTTATTAACATACAATTTTTGAATGAAAATTAAATTTAATTTAATTTGAGGTACATGAAAAAAAGATTTTAATGACAGCGGGCACTAGGAGTATTTAATGTAATATTACCAATATTAGCAATGGGAAGTTTAATATCATTTGCAACACTAACAGACATGATGTCATAATAAGGAGATTTATTTGAGAATGCCTTCAGACGATGTCATGTGAGGAGAAGCACCTAAGTCCGGATACCACAAAATATCGTTAAATTCCCCACTCGGTACAACCAAAGCAGGCGCAGAAGGCTGTGAAAAACGGGAGAGACAGTGCAATGCGGAGTGACCTGCAGAGAAACAAATTTGACACACAAGCGGGGAGGAAATGAACCAAGAATACCATGAGTTGACGGGAAACCTACATAATGAGAGTGAGTATTAGAAATAGATTTAGCATTAATATTTAATATGGACATGTCAGATTTACCATATGAAACATTGTTGGGTCTCGGATTAAACACACCCCCTGCGGCCGAAGAATTGGGTGCTGGCAGATGCCCCTGCGACTAATAAAGTTGCTGGCCGAAGACCTGCTATGGCGGATGGGCTTGCTGCCCGAAGCCCTGCTGCGACTGAAAGCTTCCCCTACTGCGGCCTCCTCTGCCGCAGTAAGCGCCATAGGCAGGCTGCTGTCAGGGTTGTACTTGCTGACCAGTACTGGCTTGAGCTCCAAAAGCCGACTGAAATTGTGAAGCACCTTGTTGCTGCTGAAACAAAATTCGTTGTTTCGCCTCTAACAATCTAGGATGAAGAATATCTGATGGAAAATTTTCAAGAAATAGGGAGATGGTTCCCGCAATTGATACATTCTCAGGTCCCAGTCCGTATAAAGTGCATTGCAATAATTCTTTGTTAGTCACAGGAGATTTTATTGCAGCTAAAGCATAAGCCAGATTTTTAATATCACGCAAGTAGTGTTCCATAAACTAATTACCTTTCTTTTTAATCGAATTCAAGGTACTCTTAAGTTCTATGGCTCTAGGTAAAGTAGCAGACAAAAAATGTTTTGTAAACGATCCCATATACCAGATGAATGTTTATATCATGCACACCGGTTAATACATCACGAGAAAGAGTAGATTGTTTCTTCAGAACTTTCTGGTTACATATCTTTTTGGCATGAACTTGTTGAGCAAGATCCCTTTTACTATGGAGTATTATATATATATATATATATATATATATATATATATATATATATATATATATATATATATATACATACTATGGAGTATGGATCACATAAAAAGTGGTTCCTAGGTGAAAAATAAGAACTAATCTTGGCCATTGAGGTGAAGAAATGGATGGAAGAGATCAAATTTTAAGTGAAAAACGCGGTGGTATTTTGGTAATTATGAAGAACTTTTATTGAAAATATTGTGACAAATGTGTATCAGAATAGTCAAAAAGTGCAAACGTAAAGCACAAAAGTGCAATACAGTACAAAATAAAAAGTGCAGAAGTTAGAAAATTTTGACAATCTTTTTTAACACGCATGAGTGCACTTTTAATCAGTAACTATCCACTTTATAGTATAAATATTTGCACATTTTTTTAAACCGTCTCTTGAGTTTAAAGTTCATCTAATCCATCCATTTTCAAGTGATCAAAGGCCAAGATTTGTTCTCACTTTTCATGGGAAGACTACTTTTTACATGAACCAACCCCTATATATATACTAGTTTTCGACACGCGCGTTGCGCGATAGAATAGGTGCCCAATGTGGTTTTGTTAAATAATATGTATATTGTATGTTTATATGATATGATTACTTTTAGTATGTGATATGTTAACATTGGTATCAACTTAAAAATAAAGTATTTAACATTCTTTCATCATGATTCATGAAAGAGGGCCGATCAAAATTAAAAATTCACACCCACATAACTACATAAGAGTTAGACCGCGTTTCCCTAATTCATAAGATAAAATGTCGTAAACATAGTGAGAAATGTCTCATACATCTCTTACTAATGGTTCTTGTTTGATTTAATAATGGACGGAGACACACATGATTATATATGAGATAGAAAACAACATGCAGAGTAAAAGAAAATCAATTGAAATATATTCATTATTGATATATACGTAGTATAAAATAAATATTTTTATTGTTCAAGAGGAAGTAGCATTTTATTAAGTATTAACTATACATTTTCGGTAATAAACATTTATAGCTATACAGTAAATATGCATTGTATTGTTCTGAAGTGGGGGCAGTAAATAGTCTTGTCACTCTGGTGCGCAGAATAAAAGTTACTAATCAAAATACTATGAACTCACATTTTAGTATTGTTGTTTTAAGCTCAACACAAGTTACTCTTCATCAAACGCCTATTAGTAATTAAGTTGGCGTGATTTGGCAAATTGTCCACCGCAAAATAAAATTGAGAATTATTAGTCTCTTTCAAGTACATAGTTTATAACTCAAGCACAAGACAACAAACAAACAAAAAATTATTTTCTGAAGATCTGATTTAATTATTTAGAATCAACATGATAAAAGTTGAATCAAGTTTCAGTCTATCCAAGCCATGAAACAAAGTACTAAAAGATTAAGCTTTATGTGGAAAATATTTTCTAATGAAAGTGTGTGCTTCTGAAAAAAGTTGTTCAATCTATATATACTATATAAACTGAAATGAAAAATTGAAAACAGTGAAACGTTTCAAGAAAGGTCTACCTATTTTCACACAGGAAGTTGTTATCCAATACCAAAAAAGTTTCAAAAGAGATGACAAACTTCACATACTAAGTGTTGACCATAAGAAGCTAGAATTTAATCAATAAATCAATTAATGAATGCATTTGGAGCACTAACCAAAAATAGACACACAACTAAGAAAATATCAAATAGTATTTGATTTTTTCTGCTCCAGGCCAGATATTATTAAGCAATTAAAGTATCTGCTTAAGCATTCAGATACAAAACACGTCTAGAAAATATATTAAGATGATGATGTCGATCTATATGCAAATAACATTTTTGTTTCTGTTTAAATTCAAGATCTTTCATCCAATGAATATTTTAATTTTAAATCAAAGGATGGCATGAAATACTGTAGGACTCGAAATCCAAGCCACCCTTAATCAAAAGTATGTCAAACTTCTCCAGAACATCTACTTAAGCCCAGGGTAAAAATCAATTTTCTAGTACCATTGTTGTGGGCCCAGGGAAAACACTCATCTTTCTCTTTTATTTTTGTAAAGAAATACTTGGTCAGTTAGAAGCATCGATTGCTCACCCTAACTGAACCTTAGTAAAAGGTGAATAATAGATGTGCTTCATGAGTTGCTATAATTTATTCAGTCTGTGTATTTGTTGGAAACTACTAAGAGGTTCCACATTCTTTTTTCTCTTATTTTTATATAAAAGCTCTTTTAATGTGGGATCTTCTGAATCTGTTCTCTCAAGAGTCATAGTAAACTATTAGTCTGTTATACAAAGCTAAAGGTAATTAAGGGTCTGTCTAATGGTCATAGCAAGTTGTTCTCC